CTTCGCTGGCAGGAAAATGCCTTTGCCTTGTCCCCCTAGGCCCGTTTTCCCTCAGAGCTTGTGTTCCAAGTGCACTGATGCCTTCTATTCTGAATTCCCAGTCTTTTCCTACTTGTTCCCTCTTCCTGGCTACAGGTTTTGTCTTACTTATTCCTAACCTACCTGGTGGATCCTGGGTCTTTGCCCCACTGACCTCTCCACTCTTCCCTCTACTTATCCCATACCCGGCAGGAAATGATAAGGCTTCTGAATGTGCATGAAGATTGATCTTGTTTTCTTCAAACAGGCACTTCTGGAATCACAGAAGTCTGGAATGGAGGGGGGCGGCATCTTATATCAGGTCACATGGAATGAGCACCCAAGTCCCAGAGAGGCTGAGAAAAGTAATCATTTCAGTTGATCTTGGGACAACCCTATTGACCCCTCCCCCAGCCCAAAGTTTAGCCAACTTTAGGAGCTTAATTAAGAGGGTCCAGGAATTTATACCTGTGTCTCTTCCCCTTCCTATTCTGTGCTCTTGGTTAGAAAAAATGCACCATACAGGTTTCTAGGCTAAATGCGCTTTGTTTGTCGTCAGCCCTTCTGCAGAGCCACAGAGCCCGTCTGCGGGCACAATGGCGAGACCTATAGTAGCGTGTGTGCTGCCTACTCGGACCGTGTGGCTGTTGATTACTATGGGCCCTGCCAGGCCGTCGGGGTCCTCTCAGAGTACAGTTCTGTCGCTGAGTGTGCTGCTGTGAAGTGTCCTTCACTCTCTGCAACTGAGTGCAAACCCATCATCCCACCCGGTAGGCTGGCAGTGCTTGGGGTGGGGCAGGGGTGGGATTGGGAAGGCTTACTTAGCACCTCTAGAGAGTGAGTCACTCAGAAGAGAGTTGACTCGTTTATTTAAATTTTTCAAAAAGTCTTGGCTCTACCTGATGCTGAATAGATTCATCATTCTGAGTCCACCTTAATAAAAAGCTGTAGATTACCTTAGATATCGTCTTGTCCATTGGATTGAAAACAACATGGTAGGAGTGCCTGGCTGGCTCAGTCGGAACATGTGACTCTTGATCTCAGAGATTACTTAAATAAAAAGTAAATAAACTTGGGGCATCTGGGTGGCTCATTCACTTAAGCCTCCAATTTTGGCTCAGGTCATGATCTCATGGTCTGTGAGTTCAAGCCCCATGTTGGGCTCTGTGCTGACAGCTCAGAGCCTGGAGCCTGCTACAGATTCTGTGTCTCCCTCTCTTTCTGTCCCTCTCCCGCTCACACTCTGTCTCTCTTTCTCTCTTAAAAATAGATAAGCATTAAAAATTTTTTTAATAAATAAACTTTTATAAATAAATAAATAAAGCAATATGGCAAACTTTTTCAGGCAAAATCCTACCAAACACCAATATATAAATAGAAAAGGCAATATTTAATTACTAAAATTATGATTATGTATTCAAATGCATAAATTTACTCATAAAGTTAATAAAGAATTAGTAGTTAATGAATATAGAATAAATAATGAATGAATGAATAATTGAAGTAGTTTCAATGAACACAAACATTTGAAATTGGGAGAAATATAAGATTGTGGTCTTAGATTGGCCTTGGCATCTTAATTTAATTGTTTTAGTTGCATATAATCGAGAAAGTCTGTTTCATACAGACCATTACGAGTGGTAACAGTTTTCTTAAACTACTTACCTTCCAGTGTCATACTTTCCAGTTAAACAGAGGTAGCAGGAAAGACTTTATCCCATGTCTGCATGGAACAGGTTAACCTGGAGTCTAACAAGTTCATTCCTCCATCCTTGGATTCATCAAATATTTCTTGAGCTTCCACTGTGTGCCAGAGACTAGGCACTGGGACATAGCCGTGAGCAAAACAAAGCCTCTTTCCTCTTGGAAACCATGTTCTGATATCTTGTTATAATTTTTAACTGCTTCAAATAATGTTTAAAATTAAATTTGAATCAAAAACTCATGGAATCCCTAAAACACCTGCTCCCTTGTTTTGTAGACAGGAAATCAAAGGCCCAGGAGAGCCCTTTCCCAGGATCACACTGAGTTTTGAGGCAGAACAGGGTCCAGGCCCCACATCTCTTGAAGGGCCAGCTCTCTCTGCTGTCTTGTACCATAACTGCCTCACCCTGAGAAGCGGTAAAGGATGAAAGCAGGGTGGAGGAAGGATTCGGGTAAACGTATAGATAGTAAGACCGGGTTGGTCAGGGAACATATCTAAACTTACAGTCACCAGGAAGGACAGCTACAACTCTCCTAGCACAAAATGAAGGGTGGGTAATTTCACCAACTACTTTGAATTTCTCATTTTCTAATTCTGAACACACGTAAAATGGTTTTTGTTATACAGGTGCTTGTTGCCCATTATGTGCTGGAATGTTAAGAGTTTTATTTGACAAAGAAAAACTGGATACTATTGCTAAGGTAAATTGCTTTCTGTGCCAGATACTGTTGACACCGTATTGGTAAGCCTCTCAGTAATGCCATAGAGGAGAATGTGTTGTCCCATTTGTAGAAAAAGAAAGTGATTCACGGAAAAGCAACTTGCCCAGGGCTGTGCAGCTCATCACCAGTAGAACTAGGCTGTCTGGCACCCGATCCCATGCTCCTTTCCTCTGCACCCTGGCTGTTTGGTGACCTTGCTCTACACGTCACAGTTGGCCTGAGCCTTGCTTAGAAAAGCCTTCCCCTGCTTGCACCGTATGCAGAGTTAGGGCTGGAGGCAGAACCAAGCAGCCAGAGACTGGCAGAGGCCCGGTGGTTTGAAGGCCGCCTGCCTGCTCAGTCCCCATTCCTCCTGAGGGTGCTTCCGGAGTGTGCCACCTTCCCGTGGTGGTTTTGCCCTTTTCCCTTTCCTGCACCATTGCTGATGATCCACTTTTGTGGACACAGGGCTCCCACCTGCCACTCCCTGGAAGTTAATCCCCACTTGGATTCAAACACTTGTGTTTTTACAGGAAGACTTTAATCATTTTCCTGTGGCCCCTAATTCAGAACACTTAAAAGGGGGTGGGGGGGGGGGCTTCTGGTGAGAGTGTTTATCTTAGCTACAAAGCTCAGCAGTCAGACAGAAGCCCTTTGGAATGGACCCTGGAGATTTAGAATTCAGCCAGCAGGGCCCCTACTGAGTTGAGGCCCCACACTTAGGGGTTCCAGTAGGCAAGGTAGCAAGGTAACCTAGGCAGCAGTAAGGAATTCCTCTTTTATTCAGGTAATAGAAATTTTTTCTCTTTGCAGGTAACAAACAAAAAGCCAATAACGGTTCTGGAAATACTTCAGAAAATCCGCATGCACGTGTCTGTCCCACAGTGTGACGTATTTGGATACTTCAGCATCGAATCAGAAATTGTGATCCTGATCATTCCTGTTGATCATTATCCAAAAGCTTTGCAGGTGTGTTCTGCATGCTTTGTGCAGCCTCCTTGTCACTTTCACATTTGGAGGACTTTGTGGGGTAGGGAATGGAGGCATTTGGAAAGTTAGGCAGGGCAGGAAGGAGAAAAGCAAGGCAGCCTCTGAAGGACAGAACCGTACCGGTGAGCGTTTTCCCGGTGGCTGAGGCCGAGCACACATTCGACGGCTGAACGTGAAGGAGTGGGAGAGCGGAGAGGCCGGGAGGCCGTGGCCCAGAGTGTGCAGACGTGGAAGGCGTCTGCTTACACACAGAGCAGGCAGCCGAGGCCCAGGGAGGGAAGGGGCTGACACGGGTCACGCAGTGACACAGCCAGAGTAGACACCTGTCTCCTCAAGGCTGTGCTCCTACTGGGGAGGAGGAGCCCACCAGGACTAGTCTAATGGACCCCATTTTTCTTCCTCAGACTCTAGAGGTGAGCCTCACCCACTGGGGCCAAGTGTTGGCATCAGAACAGTGGGAACTCAAGTGAAGGGGGTGAATACAAGCAGTTTGTAAACTGCCACAGTCAGGAAGTTTAGTAAAGCCTGATTGCTTTCCTCCGGGCTGGGTAAGGAAGCATTGAACGTCCCTTCCCTATGACGGTGTCTAACCATGTAAAGATGGTATCTAAATGTGGATAAGTGGTGAACAGGATTGTGGGAAAAGTAAGGGCAGTGGCATTGTGGATCATTTCTGCTAATTTCCATTGACGCTGTTACTATTTGTGTAATAAAGTAAGACTATATTAAAATGTGACTTTGGCCAAGAAAAGAAAGACAGAGAAAGCATATTCTCTATGTTGGGATATATTTGGATTTTGTCTGACTTGACCTTTTCCTAGGTTCTGTGGTTTTAGATTTTTAAAAATCTGATTATCCTCTCCCAGATTGAGGCCTGCAATAAAGAAGCAGAGAAGATCGAATCCCTCATCAACTCCGACAGCCCCACTCTGGCATCCCACGTCCCTCTCTCTGCTCTCATCATTTCCCAGGTACAGGTCTCAAACAGTGTGCCATCAGCTGGCATCGAGGCCAGAATCCCCTGTCCCCCCTTCCTCCTCCTCCTCAGCCTGGGCCCTGCCTTGCACATGGTCTGGACACGTAACTGACTGCCCGTGAAAAGTGCAAAATGTTCCTCCATAGAGTTTTTCTACATTGTGAGGGACATGCAGGACGGCTGGTTTCTAGTTGAATAGTGGCCAAGTAAAAGCACTTGTCACCTCTATTCACCACACGGTATTTTTTTTAATCTGCCAATATTAGGGTTTTTGTTTTGTTCTTACAAATGTTAAAATATGTCCTTCCAAATACTAATGAGAAGAGGATGTCTTCTTTTGGTGGATTCCTGCCTTACAGTTTGCTCCTTAGATGGGTCCCCCCCACTCTCGAACAAATTTGATATCACTGATAAGTGACGTGATCACTTTTTAGAAAGGTAACTCACTTTACTATAAGCTTCGTGTCTGGAAACTTCATTTCAGAGGTCCTTTAAGTATTAAGGTGCCCCTAGGGTATGTGTGCTTGTTTACAGATAATTATCTGCTCTGTCTAGAAGCTAGGGGTCGCAGTGAAGAGACTATTAGAGTATGAAACAAAGAGAAAGCATCTTTGGAATTATCATATACATCATCAGGCAAATTTAATTTACAGAAATTTACTTCAGGAACCCATCTATTATGTTAAGCAGAGCAAGCTATGGAAATGGCATTCACGTGACACGTTGTAAGCAATAGGCTCAGTGGTTACTAACGTGCGTGTGACTTTTGTGAAAGGGAGAAGTTATATCACATCAAAGCATATTGCATTATGCATTTTTATATTAACCAGATGTATATTCTTCGGTATTCATCCGAGTTAAACTTAGAGTTTTTAAACATCAATCTTTAAACCGATTGCTGCTACTTATATACTTGCCAAAAAGTGAAATAATTAGTATTTCGTGTAAATAATACGTGATATTTTTATTTTATTATGAAGAAGGTGAATAGCCATATTTGTAAAGTGACAATCATGTGTGTTAACCCAGTACTTTCCGTTCATGAAGACACATTGCTTTTTGTGATATGCACAGTGTGGATAAGTGTTCTGTCTGACTTTCTTTTTTTGATATAGAATTATAAAGAATTGTGGTTTAAATATTTAAAAATGTCAATCTAAGTATTAAAATGTCTGCATGTTGTCTGAGAAATTGAATACTTTGAATGTGTTTCACAGTTTGAAATAAGCTATTCAGTGTAATACTTCTTGTTTGTATGCACCTAAACTTAGATTTTACATGAAGTATTTTTTTCAGTGTTATATGTACCCTTTGAAATATATAGGGCTATGCTCATTATACCAAAATATTGTTTAAAAGTGGGCACTTAAAGCTTTCAGAATATCTCAGTGCTGATGTAGCGTGTTTGTTGCAATTGCTTTTTCTATATAAATGTCTTCAATGCAATATACTGGAAAGCTTTTCTATTTTAATAAAAATAATTTTATATGATTATGTGTACTTCCAAGCAGTGTGAACATTTAAAGTGAAACCACCGATCACTCCTGGGTGAGCTATGCCCTTTGCTCTGAAAGAAGAAGTTATAGGAGTTTTATTACTCCAAGCCAAGGGCCCTGAGAAAACGAGGCAGCTGGAACAGAGCTGGTCAGATCAGACCCAGGCAGGACCAGAGGGCATACTGTGGCAGGAAGTCAAGTACAAAAACCCCAGCTTTAGGAGCTCCTGGGTGGTGCAGTCGGTTAAGCGTTTGACTCTTGATTTTGATTCATGATCTCACAGTTGGTGAGATCGAGCCCCAAGTCGGTCTCTGTGCTGACAGCATGAAGACTGCTTGGGATCCTCTCTCTCCCTCCTTCTCTCTCTCTCTCTCTCTGCCCCTCCCCCCCTTTCAAAATAAACAAATAAACGTTAAAAAACAAAAACAAAGACCCCAGCTTTAGGCCCTCCAAGACCCAGGAACAGAGTAGGCCGTCCTCGTCCCACTGCCTCGGCCCGATGTTGCTGCTCTAGGGTTCATTGTGAGGCAGAGAGAACTCTGAGCTGTGGAGACAGAGGGCCTATTCTTGATTAGAGCCAGAGAGCTTCCATCAATCACTGACGCTAAGGCCCCCAAACCTCCATGGCTGACAACAGAGGCTCACCCCCTTACTTCCATCACGTGTTCACCGCGGGTCAGCTGCACTTTGCTCTACACCGTCTTTGCTCCGGGACCCTTCCAGCGTTCTCACAAAGGGGGAGGAAAGAGGCTGGAGTTCTGTGGGAGCTACTCAGACCTTGCCCATGGGCTGCTGGTCCTAGCATAGTCAATGGCAGAGGTGCTGCTGAGGCCCAGGGGGACGATGGACACCCGCCCAGTCCCTGGACCGGCTGCTGAGGTCACCACTTCTGCCACCATGGATTTACACCCGGCTGTGGTGGTCTCTTCTGCAGGAACTGGAAGACCCATTGGTGTTTTACCTGGAGGCATGGCTGGCTGACTCGATCTTCAGCCCAGATCAAGTCATAATTCTGGAAATGGAGCGGATGAGCCAGGTCCTGCTGACAGTGGACATAGTTAACTCCAGAGATTTAGTTGAAATTGTCATCTTCGATCAGCCGTATATACAAAATCAGGTGAAGGGCATGCCTTGAGCCTGGCTTGGTGGCACCAGGAACATGGTGCCCAAGATATGTGCCTGCACAGAGGAGAGACCATGTGAGGACAAAGCAAGATGGCAGCCATCTGCAAGTTAACGAGAGGCCTCAGAAGAAACCAGCCTTGCTGACATCTTGATCTTGGACTTCCAGCCTTCAGATCTTTGAGAAAATAAATATCTGTTGTTTAAGTCAAAAAATAAAACAACAACAACAACAACAACAACAAAAGAGAGTGGGGGGGGCGGTGTGTGAAGAGGTAGAGAGAACCACAACTATCCCTTAGGTCTCTGCTTAGAAGTGACACTGTCATTTCTGCTTATACCTTACTGGCCCAAGCAAGTCACGTGGCCACTCCTAACTTCAAAAGGTAGGGATGGTTTAATCTTCTGGGGTGTGTGTGTGTGTGTGTGTGTGTGTGTGTGTTGGGTGGGGAGGGGCTGCAGGGAAGGAGCTGGGGCAGGAACCAGAAGCATTTGGAATGACAATACAGTCCACCACACAGGTCATTTCTCATCAGGCTAGCCAGGACTGACTAAAAATTTTTATTAAAAAATCAGTAGATGTTTTGTGGTCAGGGAAGGAACTAGAGAAATGAGAGAGGTGCTTGGGTTTGGGGGAAGGGGAGTATTAAGGGAGAGAAAGGTTGGTCCTGCTCTGAGGACACAGTCATGAGAACCCCAAAGACAGGGGCAAAACGAGCTCACATCAGGTCATTCTGGGGAGATAACGCTTCTCCCCCGAAAGCTGCTATGCCGGACACTCCCAGATGGCCACGCAGACTGATCGTCAGTGACTTTCCAACACCAGTGCGGGCTGCAGCCCTGCTGTTGGCTCTCCAGCGTTCTGCCCAAGTTCAAGTGTGTCGGGCTGGTAGAGGCCTTGAATCGAGATTCTGTAGGAGACAGCTGGGCTGTGGGGGGAGAGAGACGAAGTTCTTGTGCCCCAATAATATCAGCAGGGAGGACCTGGAAGTTCAGGAGGAAGCAGTTCTGCAGGAGGAGGACAATTTAAAAGGTGAGATACCCACATGAAAAGTAGCTTCCAGAGAAAGATTCAGAAGCTCCTATGGCCATAGGTAATGAAACCGAGATGCTAGAAAAGCAAATGAAATCGCTCCCCGCCCAGTCTACAGAAAGTGATTGAGCAGGAATGGACCCCAAGAGAGTCATAGGCCCAGCCTGGGTCACATGCCCACTGCTGTGGCAGAGGAGGGAAGGTAGGGGAGTTCGGCCCCACCTAAACCTGATGGAATGGATTTCTCTCAGGAAATGACTCTTTTCCTAGAAGAAGCCTTCTTGCTGGATGTGTCCTCTGGGGAGTGTGCATCTCTCTAGCAGGCCGTTAACCCCGACACCTGTTCAACCCGTGAGCACTCGGCAGGGCCTGGCGCTCCGGCCAGGCACACGCCCACCGGTTTTGTACCGTCAACCAGCAGAGCCCAGTAACAGGGGAGTGCTTTGGAGGCTGACCTATTGGAAGAGGGAGTTATCCAAAGCGACTAACAATAAAACAGTTGTTACACCAAGAGCAAAAATGGGAACAAAGAGGAGACCCTGTGACGAGTGCAGAAAATTTAAATCCAACAGAAGCAAATAGAAGCAGGCCAACCAGGGGAAGATCCTGCTTGCTTCCTGGATGCCTCACTTCCGAACCAGCTCTATCAGGGAGCTTCCAACGGCTCCAGGACAGACGAGCCGGGCGTAAGGCCAGTCACTGGATGACTCTAAATGGTTGATCTCTCCAAAGTTACCATTTTTCTACAGAGCATGGACAGCAGATAAATATGTCACTCATGGCACCACATCCTTGTTTTAGGTCCATGGTGAAGAGATCGTCATGGTGAAGAGAGCCCCGTCATGGTCTCCTGGTGCTTGTCTCAGCTCCAAGCTAAGCTTCAAGCACAGCGTTCTGAGCAAGAAGAAAGACAAGAGTCACAAGTGACTTCTCAAGACGCCTGGGTGGCTCAGTCGGTTAAGCGTTTGACTCTTGCTTTCAGCTCAGGTCATGATCTCATGGTTCATGAGTCTGAGCCCTGCATCAGGCTGTGTGCTGACAGTGCAGAGCCTGCTTGAGATTCTCTCTCTCTCTCTCTGCCCCTCCCGCATCTCTCTCTCTCTCAAAATAAATAAACTTAAAAAAAGAGTCACAAGTGTCTTTTCCTTTTGCTGCCAGTGCCTCTTATGACTAAGAAAAATATTTCTCAGAAATCCCTCGGCAGTTGTCCCTTGTATCTCCTTGGCCAGGATCAGGTCGTATTCCTGCCATAGACAACTGGCCAAGGGGAACAGCATTTTTATAGCTAGACAGTCAGGGACTGAACATTCCGCTGCCCGAGGGGAGTCAAAGTGCAGGAAGGCAAGTAAGAAGGCAAAGGCCACCAACAGCATTTGCCTCCAGGTAAAGCCAGTTTTTTGGCAGTCTCAACTTGTTAGAGTGTAAACATGGAAATAGTTTTATTTTCCCAGTAACTGGCCC